TTGGATAAAATTGTGGTGGAACTTACAGCAAATTTTCAAAAGAAGAATTACTTTCTCGCCTCAGTTGTTTCTCCTAGGTATTACACAAAATTTGGACGTAAAAGAAACGAATTTGATGTTATATTGCTTAACTGCTGCCCGTTTGTTGATAGCTCAAAATTGGAAGAGTAAAATTTTACCTACAATGGAAGACTGGAGACTGAAAGTTTCGTTCCTTGCTGAAATGGCAAAGATTTCGGCTTATTTGAAGAATTATTCAAATGAACAATTTTTATTAATATGGAGAAGATGGATTGTTTATATACAAAAGAAGCATAGAGTGGTGGAATATAATTTAGGTTTTTAGAAAAAAATTTTCTTTTTCTTTTCTTTTATATATTTTACCTACTCATGTAGAATAATATACTTTGTGGAGTTAGAGATACTAATATTTGTTTACTTATATCTGAATATTATCCTGGGATTAGGTTTGGGAAGTCCGGGGGGGTGGGGGGTGGGGGGTTTCTCATATAGCATTGTGTAACATTTGTGAGGTTTTTTTTTATGATGAAAAATAATAAAAAATTTTATATTGAAAAAAAAAATGAAAATCAGAAACTGATGCAAATAAATGGAGAATTAGAGGACTCAATAGCAGTCATGGAAATGGAAAAGGCTTCTTACTTCTTAAGATTTCAAAACATAATGGAAGACCTTGTAGATCTGATAACGGAATTACTGGCTGATGCATTAGAAATCGGGAAACAGGAAATGGAAGGAGAATTAGATCAGATATACTGAGTTAACTCAAATTATGCGAGAAGAAATAAGTACATGTTAGATTTCTTAAAAGATCCATAAGAGATGAGATACTGAGAAGAGTGAGAGATGACCCTTTGAAATATAAAGGAAAAGAAATTGTAGTCTTCAAACAGATCCCTAGGAGAATAAGAGAATCCCAACGAGAATATCAATTTTTAACTAAAAAATTAATTGAAAAAGGAGTGAACTTTAGATGGCTGATCTCAGAAGGGATTTTAATTTATTGGGATATGAAAAGATACAGACTGGACACGAAACATAAAGCAATGGAATTCTATGACAACCATAAAGCGTTCATGGAAGGGGGTGACTTTGAATCTGGTACAGCGAGAGAAACAAAGAGACAGGAAGAGATGGTAACAGAAGGAGCAGCCAAGAGAAGAAGACGAAACTAAAAATACAAATACAGAAGAAGGGGCAAGACCAAGAGAACAGAGACAGATAAGATCAACTAGAACATTAAGACCTAAATATAATTGAAAGAGAAGGAGAAGGAAAATGGGATCCTTTCAATGAATATAAACAAACTGAACTCCCCCTCAAAAAGGAAATTTTTTTTACACGACTACAAAAATTAAAAATAGATATAATTTGCCTCCAAGAAACACATATTAAGAGACAACACTATAAACTGTTAGAACAACCAAAAATTGGCAAACTCCATTTTGCATTAGCACAAAAGAAAAGAGGAATAGCTCTATATATTAAAGAAACAATGAACTCTAAACAAATTTATGCGGATTAAGAGGGAAGAATATTAATGATGGAAATAATGATGAACCAAAAACAGATATTGATGGTAGCAATATATGCACCAAAAATTACATTAAAAATATTAGAATTGGAATATCAAAATTTTTGTATAATGAGAAATTTAATGCAATAGCAGATGGAACTTTGGACTATAAAACACTAAAATAGGGAAGAAAGGAAGAAATATATTACCTAAAGTCTTTTCTAAAATGGCAGAAGAAATTTGTATTCAAGACATATGGAGAGAGAAAAATCCCAAAAAATTGCAATATAGATTTTATTCAAATAGACACAAATCATGGTCTAGAATTGATATAATATGGATATCCTCTAAACTTAGCACGATGATACAAGAAATAGAGATAGAAACTAATATCTGGGCAGATCATAATCCAATAAAGATGACTTGGAGAGGAGCCAAGAAAAAACTAAGATGGTCACTGAACAAATCTATATTGAAAGAAAAAGAATTTATACAACTGGTGACAAAGGAAATGGACTTTCCCCCCCAAAATAAATAAGAAAGAACAGATATCTCTTCAAAATGTGTGGGATACAGCTAAAGCATATTTTAGAGGGCTGGCTATAAACTATACTGCTAAAAAGAACAAAGAAAGAAAATAACAACAGTTAAAGTTGAAGGAAGAATTTAGGAAATTAGAATTAGAACTACAAATAAATCCAGAAAAGAAAAAACTTAAAAAGCAAATGGAAATAATAAAACATTAATTAAACCTAGTAGAGGCAGAAACAATGGCTCAACAAATTAAAAGGGCTAAACAGAACTTCTTTGAAAATGCCAATAAACCAGGGAGATGGTTAGCATATAAATTGAAAAAAGAAAAAGAGAAAAAACTGATAAACAATTTGCAAGACTCAAAAGGTGAATTACAGTTTCAAAATGGCACAATTTAAAAAACCATCAAAGATTTTTATGAGACACTTTATGATATAGAGGAAACTTCAAAACAAAAAAAATACAGCAGTACTTAAAAAAAGCAGATCTACCAAAAATTCCAGAGAATATTCAATGGAAAAATATCAATGATGGAGATAACAGAGGCCATAAAAAGGGGAAATGAGCTTTTTCCACAGTGATCCCTGCTCTATGGAACATACTCCCTCCACCTATTGAAATGGCCCAACTCTGTTAGCCTTTTGCTAGATCCTAAAAATCAGTCATTGTTCCAATACCTGGGGTGCTAAATGTCTCAAGGTCCCAGTTTCCTCACTATAATAATAAAAGGATATTTAACTAGCTACTATGTGTATTTAATTTGGATGCCTTTAATATTTTATGAAATTGTTCTTAGTATTTTTACTGTAATAACGTTTTTGAATTGTAAGCGACCCAGAGCTATTACCCAAGATGGCTGGCTATAAAATTGAATAAGCAAATAAATACACAAAATTCAAAAATGGAGCAAAAAACCCATAACAGATTATAATAAACACTTACCAGGCATATAAATCTTTTCGCCAATTTGGCAAAAGCAATAACTTGTGCTGCTTCCAACGGTGGTGGTTGAAGATGGACTACTCGAGGTGGTTTGAGGTACAGTTGTGGTTATCACTTCCCGTGTCGTGGTTCCAAAGGGAGTTGTGGTTGAAACAGGAAGAGTGGAGCTAGAAGTGGTGGTGGGTGGTACGGTTGTTGTTTTGCATTCTGGGTTTTCTTCACAACAAAGCACACTTACCCTATAATTAAAGCATTGCTGAACTTTCCCAGGTTGTTTTTTATTGTAGCATTCCAGTCCAACTGTGACATCACACCGAACGACTTGACCAAGCAGTTCGATGCTTAGGTCTGGGTAGTTTACAGCTTGACATCGTATATTTATAGGCTTTTCACAGAATCTGCCTCCTGCGGCTCGGATATTGCTGTAGGTTTCAAGGTCTCCTCCTTCCGGTCCAGAAGTGGGAAAGTCAACATCAAACCATTCTGACCACTGGCAGATGACGGGAGCACATGTGGTCTTTGGTGGGGTGGTCGTAGTGAGAGTTGTTGTTGGT